GCTGCCGTGCCGGGGGACGTCAGAGCCCGGGCTGCCCACCAAGCCGGGGGGCTCCCCCAGCACTGCCTTGCTCGCGGGCGGGCTGCCCTCCTGAGTGATTGCTGCTCACAAGAAGTTTAATTATGATCTTTGGGATGATATTAAAATAAGTGAATCACCTGAATAATATTTGCTATTATTTCTGTTTAGCTCATACCATTTTCTCTTAACCTACGCTGCCCAGATGGCCTTTATTATAGTCGCGGGAATCTGCTTGTGTCTCTATTTTCTCTTCCTGTGTTTTATGGTGTTTCAAGTGTTCAGAAACATCAGCGGAAAGCAGTCAAGCCTCCCAGCCATGAGCAAGGCTCGCCGCCTTCATTACGAGGTAACATCCTTCCTTGGTGCACGGATTCTTTATTTTTAAAATGCATTTTTGACCTTACAGTCTGTTGCGGAGACCTTCTCTACCCATAGTCCTGAAGTGGAAGATTGATCTTTATCAGCTTCCCGGTGTCGCTCAGATCCCCTAACTGGCTTTTTGATTGACTGTGGGGAAGTTTCTTCTTTATCTGGGTCTTTAGACCTGAGGAAGTATTTTAAACTGTCAGGAGGGTGTGTCGGCTAGCTCTCCTTTCTTCTGAGTAGTTGCCGTCGCCCACTTTACTGAACAGCGTTGGAAGATGGAAGAAAATTGCCCAAATTACCATTGAAATTACTATGGGGTGTCAGCCCATCAGTTCCCCGTACCTCTGTTTCTCCTCCTGCAATATAAATTACTGTGTTTAGTAGAAAGTATTGCTAAGACCGCCCTGTTTTTCCATGGTGTGAATTCAGATTTTTGGGGTTGTCTTTTCCTAACCAAGTTGCAGGAGGGAAACTGTCCCGCTGGGATCAATAGGCGACATGTTCAGCCCATTATCCCGGGTTTTAACCCATGATTTTGTGTGTTTAACTGCTGCGAAACATGAGGAGCTCGCTTTTAAGTGCTTAAGCTGCAAGGGCCTGTTGTTTCCGTGGGTGTGTAAATATTTATCACCAACGTTGTTCTGTTAAGTGATGGTCACTTCCGATTTAAACAAGTCCGTTACTGCCTATCAGGAATGCACATAAAAAAAAAATAGAAAATTGGACTTGAGAGAATTTGAAGAAGTTATTGGGCATTTTTTCCCGTCATTCCCTTTAGCAAGAGGCACAGGACTTCACTATTATAGAGCTGCTGCAGCAATCCTCTACGTACAGGCATCTGGCAAACCTGAATCTGATCTGGAAGAGTGAAATTAATAGTCATTTGTTGTCGCAGTGTGGCATAGTCATTACGCACACGCTGACATTTCCACCAAAATTCCAGAAACAGGTTAAAAAAAACAACACACGTGCAAAAACAGAACCAGAAGAATTTGTAAGTAAAACTGAAGTGAAAGCCAGTACGGTGTGCAGTCGGATTCCCAGCCAAGGGATCTCGAGCCTTAGGTTGTCTTATAATCTACGTTCTTCTGTCATAGCCCGCGTGGTTTTGACAGGCGTTGAGAATCGCTGCAGGTTCCTCCCGGACAGACTGGGGCGGTGAGGGTCGGTCTGGTAGGGACCCCGTACCCACGCTGTACAAACACCGACTCGTCTTGCTAAGCCGTGCAAGCTCTCCGCAGACGTTTGTTTTACAAAGGCTACGAGCTATCAGGCTGGCTCCTCGTGAAACCCGTGGCTTACGCCGACTTGCCTCCTCTTCCACGTTAACTCTTGGTAAATCGGTCACAAAAGCAAATGTAATGGAAAGGCAGAGCTGTCCAGACACGCACGCCCGGCTCGGAGCATCCGGGAGGAATGCAGACGTGTGGGGAGCGGAGAATATGGGCTGTCGTGAACACGGCGCAGAGGAGTGGGTGGAGGTTGTTTTGCTTTGGGGTTTCGTGGGTTGGACCCTTTTTTTTTCTTTGCCTTTTTTTTTTATGCTTGTGTCTTGTATATACTAAAAACAAAAATGGGTTTTGTGGATTCTGTTAATGTGACCAGTGACATTTCTCTCCAAACAGGGGCTGATTTTTAGGTTCAAGTTCCTGATGCTCATTACCCTGGCTTGTGCAGCGATGACGGTCATCTTCTTCATCGTGAGCCAGGTGAGCAATGAAACTCGGCTTTCTCTGAGGACATCGGCCTCCGATTCCCTAGCCACTAACGACATCGGCTCACTTGCTGTTCAGACAAGGCATGCCTGTTATAAGCAGATTTGATAATAAGTTGCTTTTTAAGAAGTTGGTTTCGTTTATTTGAAGTGTGGCCATAAAGTTGCTCAGGCTGAAGCCTTCACAGAGGCCTCTGGCTCACGGTAAGGTTTGGGCTGTGCTGTTTGAAATATCAGCCAACGTGGTTTAGCCATTTCTGAGAACTCGGCAAGAGGAAAATGTTCTGTTCACGTTGAAAAAATCCGGTGGCTTTATATGCCCGCAGAGAAGTAAGAGAATTCAATCTTCCCTGGGCTGCCTTTGCAACCCTGCGGTCTCCAGCAGCGTCTGTACCCCTTTACCCTCCGCTCCGATGCAGTCTCTGTACGAACGAGCTTGTATCCTTACTTTGATGATTTACTCCAAGTGACTTTTCAGGTTGCGTCTGTTTCAAAGATGCCATTTATGGTTGTTCCTGAGCCCAGGCAGCCTGTGGCTTCAGGAGAGCCGTGGGTACAGCCTCACCGGTCCAGCCTTGCAGAATTAGAGGTGCAGGAGCCGTTTCTCCCTTGCCGCACCTCTTCTGCTTTGGGGTACGTGGTGGGTCCCAACGCGAAATACAGCAGCGGATGATTTTGCTCTTAAAAATCTGTTAAGTTTGGGGGATGCCACTTGGCAATGCAGTTCATCATTGAGCCTTAATGACCATCACTTTGTGCGGACATAACGCAAACAATCTTGCCCAGCCTCTCTTTTTAAGCTAGTTCAGCTTCCGTCTTTCCCCCTTCTGTCTTTTTCTTTAACAGAAAGCCAACATTTCAGTGCTGAACAGTCTGTGTATCTTCAAGTAATATTAATATTGATGATATTTTCGTAAATCTTGACAAATCTGTGTGTGTCTGAGGCTGGTGCTGTCAGCCTAGGCTCCTCTCCTAAGACAGAAGCAGCAAGGCAGTATCGAGCACATTAGCTCTTCGCATTATTCATGCTGGTTTTCCTTCTAGAAAAGGTCTATTTATAGAAGTCTCATGTTTTCAGATTAACTAGTTGTCTCCTAGGTACTGCCCTTTACGTGGCAATCTTCGCTGAACGCATGGCTTACGGCAGGGATGTATCGCACAGTGTGAGAGATTCTGTCACATTTAAGAATGATAAATCAAAGTTAAAGAGATCCTGATGCGGTCATTCTGTAAGGGCCATTTTTGTCCTGCAGATTGAGGCTAAAGAGGAGAATCCTAGCCTGACTTGTGTGGCACTGAGGCTGTTACACTCCTTTTACTTGATCCTGCGGAGCTGGTGCTGCTCTTTACCGATCGACTCAAAGTTAGTGCTTTAGGGGGTCACTTCTGTATTTTTACAGAATTTGGTTTTACTGACCAGCCCGTGCCTGTCTGCTTTCTCCTGGGCAGGTGACCGAAGGCCACTGGAAGTGGGGGGACATAACAATACAAGTGAACAGTGCCTTCTTCACCGGCATCTACGGGATGTGGAACCTCTACGTCTTCGCCCTCATGTTCCTGTACGCACCGTCACACAAGAATTACGGTGAAGACCAGTCGAACGGTAACTACCTCTAAATGATCTGAAGGCTGTCATGGGAAGAAAGCAATATAAAGTGGGTGATACGCTTTGTGCGTTTTTATTTTTTTTTGGCCAAAGTTGCGCATTCAGGACCTTGAAATGTTATGCAAATGATGGTTTGGTTTTCCTAGCAGACATTTTAATTAGTGACTAGGTTAGACAGGTTTGAGTATTTAGCCAAGGCTGTCTAAAACCTTCTAGATGGTTTTTGTGCGTTTTAGCATTGCCCACTTGTAATTGTGTGGCTCAGGTGGAGGGATGAAGAAAGGAGAAAATAGAAATTTGGGCATGTGGAGAATGGCAATGCTGTTGGATTCCTTTATCAGTAGTCTTCAGTAGCACAGAAATTGTCCTTTGCCAATACGCTTGTATTTAAATAACTGTAAATAAAAGCATTTATAGAAGTGTTGCATAGTCCATAGCTTAGGTAGCTCCTGAAAGCCTGGAGGGAAATAAAATGGATCTTTTGCTTTCTAATTGTCAAATATTTTATTGTGAGACCAGGCTAAAGAAATTAACTTTCTTTCTCAGGTGACCTGGGAGTCAACAGTGGGGAAGAGCTTCAGCTCACCACAACCATCACCCACGTGGATGGGCCCACGGAGGTCTATAAGCTGGCTCGCAAGGAGGCTCAGGAGTAACGCTGAGATGGCCTCAGCTGGGACCCAGACCGGGGTGGAGAGCAGAGGACAACACAACGCCCTCCGGCCAGGAGACCTCTCCGACCTAATTTGCTTCTCGAGCACCCCGTACCTGGTGTGTTTTCACAGAGCGGTGACGCCGAGCAGAACATTTGTAAACTCTTTACTATGGTGTAGTTATTTCTGGGGGGAGGGATATGTATATTGTGTTACACTTAAGCACGTAAAAACCTGCTAGAAAAGCATTAAGGTTGCAAAGTCGCACATTCAGAAGTTAGGAAGGGGCAGAGCTGACGTCGGGCAGTTTTTATTTGGCCTTCGTGTGCCTGTGCATAAAAGTGGTGCAGGGAATTCGGTCAGGGAGCACGTATTCAGTACTTTGAGTTTTCTTCTTGTGTGCAACTCTAAACAAGGTGTTGGTTGAGGGAGGAGCTAAAGCCCCATCATAAAACCGTTCAATTCCACCATCTGTAATTGTACTGAACCTTGTTTGAGGTCTTTAGCACAGCCCTGCAGCTCCGCAGCACGCCTCTGTCACTTGAGTGAAGCACAGCTGGGGAAAGGAGTAGGCTGTTAGTAACGTGTAAGATCTTAGTAGAAGCAGCAGCGTGCTTTCTCGGTAGGTTTTACAGCTGTTTGTTAAATATAGAGGAATTTAAAAACTGGATGCCTGAGCTGAGTTGCAGGAGAAAGGCGTGCTCGTGTCCCGAGCTCCCAGAGGTACCGGTCCCACAGCCAGCTCCTGCCTATTCTCAGCCCCTTTGGCTTCCTGTACTTTGTTGTCTTCCTCCATCTTAACCTTTTTGTTACAGCTCATTCATTTTTCTGCTGCTTACGTGCCATGGGGAGAAGAGAAAGGCCGCGGGAGGGACGGTGTGTTCTTGGTTCCCGTGCCTGTGAGCTGAGCAGAGGACGCCGGGCAATCCCGCTCCTCCTTGCCCTGCCGGGATGGAGCACGCTTGGCAGAGGTGGATTCTTCCAGGGATTATCAGACGTGAAAAAATCCACTTGTCACGCATTAATATGGATATTTCCTTTCCAGAGCAAAAGCAGATGAGGAGGTCGCTCACACCCCTGCTGTCCCTAGGCAGATCAGACTGTTGGCAGCACGAGGGGAACGGGACCTGATCTGGGGTGGAGGTGTAAACTGGACTGTGCTGGGGACCAGTTAAGAGAAGCCTTAATGGTGTATGTGGGAAGAAGCGTGGCCAGAAGGGTCTGTGCTGCTCAGGGCACACCTTCTGCCAGGGCCTGGAGGATCCATGGAGCCTCACCCGGCACTAGTAAATGTCAGTGTTAACTGCTAGTAACAGATAACTCAACCTCCCCACCCCAGTTGTGTCCCTCAGAGATGAAAAGCCGCTGCTGCTGTCTGGGCAGAGATTCGGGAGAGAGGGGAAGCTTCCGAAGCCGCTGACAGGCAGTCATTGTGGGTACCAGTGGAAACACTGACCTGGAAAAGGTGACATGTTGTCCTTGGATTCTTAAAACTTCTGAAATTACGCCTTGATCTTTAGAGTATTAAGGCTGCAAAATGGAAGTACAATTGGGAAATAGAAGTGAGATCACCTATGAAACCTTAATCCACCTCCAGCCAACGTGTGCGTTACGACATGCAATTAAAGCCCGTTGCATGCTGGCGTTCCACTCGCATTCAGGTTTGTGTGAGAGTCTGGGGCTGTGGGCAGGAGTTGAGGCTATGCAGCCGGGGCGCTGGTTGGCACCGGGAGGTGCTGGTTCATCACGATTCCCACCCCAGCGAGCAGCTCGCAGGTGGCGATTCCTGTCCCTGGCTGCCCCGTGCACCCCTCTGCACCCACCCCGTGCTTTGCAGCTCCAGGGGGCTGCTCAGTTCGGCTCTACCCATCCCTGTCACCGTTTCAAGCATGTTGGTAACCAAACACAGCACCAACTCGCCTTGCCTTTTGCTTTCCCTTCCCCGTGGTTCTTGAGAGAAGCCAATACTTCAGCTGGGGTGAGGCGTTCAGATAATTCCTCCTTATTTTCCCAGTCCACCAGGGAATGGGGCCAGAAGGCCAGTAACCACCCCTTGGCCGTGTGCGGGGCCGGCCGGGCACCCCAGCTCCTCACCAGCCTTTCCCCAGAAGGGATTTCTCACTGGGACTGCTGACCGTGCCAAACGAATCGCACCAGGCGGTGCTGGGCTCTTACAGTCCCAGTAAGAACAGCACTTGGTAATACCAATTCTAATAAAATACCATTTATTAGAGCTCAACACTATGAAGGAAGAGAGGGTAGCGTAGATAATCTTGCATCCTTTCGGTTGCTGTGAACCCCAAGTTGTGCAGCATCGACCGGCTCTCCGATCGGGGTGCGGCGTGCCGGGCAGACCCTGTCTGCAGAAGGGCTGCTCCATTTTTTGTTAATGAGAGCTACCGCAGGATTTTTGTAAAGAAAGCAATTCTGTTCATTGTGCTGTTGGCCCTCACCGGCATCCCCAGCTCCTGGCAGGGTCAGAGCCGAGGAACGCTGAATGTACCTGTCCGGGTGAAGTCCCTGCCCTGCGTGCTGCTATGTCTGAGCAGGTGAAGTCACTGTAGCACCGAAAAAGTGCCAAACACTACGTAAGGAGGCAGCTTCAGGTGATTTTTGGATACTTGAACTGGAACGGTAATAATTTTTTTTACAAGTTTGGGCGTGTTTTTGTGAAGTGCTATGGCAGCGCCCCTGTACTGAAGGAAATGTGGTTTAAAATAAAATGAGAATAAGGAGGGGGCACGCTTACTGTCTGTGGAATAAGTGCTAGGACCGCACCTTCAACATGGATGGCAAAATGCAACTTGTAAGCGATTTACATACGGAAAATAAGTGCTAGTAGGCCCAAGCAATGTTCCTACTTGCAGTAGTTGTTCATTTACAAAGTTAATTAAAAGTAACGCACATCATCGTAACTCCGGCATGTTCCTGGCTGAGTGCTCGACTTTGCAACTTTAACGTCCTTTTTACGTTGGGTTCTTATGTGATATTTATGTTGTTCTGATAGATGTGTCCATGGTTTCTTTTACAGCTTAGTATAGTAGTGCATTTTGTAAAGGCTCCTTACAAATGGGGAACTGCAGCTTTAAAACCAAATTTTGTGTCAAACACTAACAATTTGTTTATGGGGCGCGTGTATGTGTGCGTGTGTGTGGGTTTTTTATTTCTTATTTCCTAAGCCCTACTCATATGTCTCAGAAATAGTCCCTGGATCTTATTAAAATACATCCTTTTTTTGTTTAGGTTGAGTTCAGTTTTTACAGAATGCTTTAAGCAACCTGGAAAACATGTAGTTTTGTTAATTTAAATAAAATATACAATATTGTGGACTTGTCGTCGGCCTGGTTCACTGACTGAGGCTGTCTTCTGCTGTGATCCTGTTTGCTTTTATTTGGTCTTCAGGCAGTTGCAAGTCGCACAACTTGTTGCTGGGGAAAACGGTTGACTCGCTTGGACAATTTTCTGCTGCCTCTCTCTCCAAATGCTTTGCGCTGCAGAAACACGGTGCTTCGATGCTAATGGCTTTTTGACCTTTCAAACCTTTGCTTTAGGACTGGTTGTTAGCGGAGCCCTTGCTGCCTTGTCTCTGGAGCATCGGTTGCAGCTCCTGCTCGCGGAGGTTACAGCTCCCCTCGCCCAGGGGACCGGGGTGTTGAGTCCCCCCGTTCCCCTCCATCCTGCCTGGGCACAACCCTTGGCTTTTCCTTCGGGCTCTCTCCAGCCCTGGAGCTGTCACAGCTTTGCTGTCACCTTTGCATGTCAGCTTGGGCGTCCTCCTCCATCTGCTGCTGTATTCCCAGGCGCTGCCTCCCACTGCTTGGAGCCCGCTCTCCCCCATGTTGTCCTTCTGTCTATCATCCAGGAGAAAAAAAATAAAAAATAAAAAAAGGTTTTCCAGGACTTGCACTTAAGATTTAATGGAAAATTTGATGGCAACAGATTTAAGTTGCCATTGCAAGAGGGGCTGCCTCCTCATCCAGGAGAAAAAAAATAAAAAATAAAAAAAGGTTTTCCAGGACTTGCACTTAAGATTTAATGGAGAATTTGATGGCAACAGATTTAAGTTCAAGATCAACAGCTTGAAGTTGCCATTGCAAGAGGTGCTGCCTCCATAAAATGGCCCATGAGAGGGGAAGGGGGCTGCTGAGGTTTCGGCGGAGCCCGCGGCTCCCTTTCTGCCGCAGCCTGCGTTCGCTACGGCATCCCTGCGCGGTGAGGAACTAGGGCTGCTCAGAGACGAACCAGAGGCGGTTACAGCACTTCCAGGAGCTAATGAATTTCAAAAGAGCAAATTCATGAATTTTAAATAACTAAAACCACCGCCTCCCTCCCTTTCCCCGTTCCTTCTGCAGGCCCTTTGTTGGCTGGGGCGCAGCCCTGCCCTGCCAGGCTGTTGCTGCCCTCTGCCGCCACCAGAACACGGCTTTCAGCCGGATTAAAGAAAAATAAATCAATCCCTCGCCTCTAAAAATGGGGGAAATTTGCTTGTTTACGTGTTCCTGTTACCTGGTGGTGCTGCTCAGGGGTCCCATCTGTCCCAGGGGCTTCGCGCTTCTGTGCCAGGACAGGGTGAGAACTGGGGAGGAATGGGACAAACGACCCGAGGGATTCTTGACGGGGCTGGCTGCTCGTGATGTGAGCGGCCAAAGTTCGCAGAAGGGAAACGGGTTGTGCTGGGCTCTCGTGGGTGAGCTGGGGACCACAATTTTTGAGGTCGGCAAGCGGTCTTTGGTTGGGACTGTTTTCCTTAATTGGCCTGGGTCTTTGGTTGGAACGGTTGGACTGTTTTTCTTAATTGGCCTGCTTTCTGTGCTTTCTTGGAAGTCTGGGAGCTGAGTCTCTCTCTGCTGTAGAACTGGTTTGTGCCTGAAGAGCAAAGCAAGGCGCTGCAGCAGACCCCAGCACAGCCCTGTCTGCCGTTCCTTCGCTCCGTGCCGGTGCCGGGGAGGTGTAAGGGTGCCGTGCTGGGCTGGGCTGCCTTCAGGCAGAGTCCTCAGCGTGGGGTGACAGCGA